TTTTACCCCTCCTCCCCCCATTTTATACCCACCCTCCAATCATTTATCATCCAACCATTTATCATTCATCCATCCAACCATTTATCATCCAACCAGCCAACCATTTATCATCCATCCATCCAACCATTTATCATCCATCCATCCAACCATTTATCATCTATCCATCCAACCATTTATTATCCATCCAACCATTTATCATCCATCCATCCAACCATTTATTATCCATCCAACCATTTATCATCCGTCCATCCAACCAACCATTTATCATCCATCCAACCATTTATCATACATCCATCATCCATCCATCCAACGAACCATTTATCACCCATCCATCCAACCATTTATCAGCCATCCATCCAACCATTCATTATCCACCCAACCATTTATTATCCATCCAACCATTTATCATCCGTCCATCCAACCAACCATTTATCATCCATCCAACCATTTATCATACATCCATCCATCCAACGAACCATTTATCATCCATCCATCCAACCATTTATCAGCCATCCATCCAACCATTCATTATCCACCCAACCATTTATCATCCATCCAACCAACCATTTATCATCCATCCAACCATTTATCATCCATCCAACCATTTATCATCCATCCAACCGTTTATCATCCACCCATCCAACCATTTATCATACATCCATCCAACCATTTATCATCCATCCATCCAACCATTCATTATCCATCCAACCATTTATCATCCATCTGTCCAACCATTTATCATCTGTCCATCCAACCATTTATCATCCACCCATCCAACCATTTATCATACATCCATCAAACCATTTATCATGCATCCATCCAGCCAAATAACCATTTATCATCCATCCATCCAACTATTTATCATCCTTCCATCCAACCATTTATCATCCATCCAACCATTTATCATCCATCCATCCAACCAACCATTTATCATCCATCCATCCAACCATTTATCATCCATCCAACCATGTATTATCCATCCAACCATTTTAAACCACCCCCTCCACCCAACCTTTATCTCCACCCAAACATTTATCATCCACCCACCCAAACCTTTACTCCGTCCATCCTTCTTATATATTGTTTTCATCTCATCACAACATCTTTCGCTCCCTGGTAAAAAGTTTAAAAACTTTTTTCTCTTATGGTTTTCTTCATGTTTATGACTATTTACATTGTATGTAGATTCTCACTGAAGGCATTAATTAAAACATATGGAATTATGTAGCAAACTAAAACTTGTAAAATGAGTTTAAATATGATTTATATTTTAGATTCCTTAAAGTAGCCGCCCTTTGCTGTGATGACTGAAATATTAACCTCTGGCCGTCTCTCAATGAACCTCTGGGAAGTTCTTTCAAGACTCTTTGGAAAACCATTTGAGGTGACCACCTCATGAAGCTCATGGAGAGAACGCTAAGAGAGCAAAGCAGTAATAAGAGCAAAGGGAGGCTGAATCTAAAATATAAAAATGTTTAGAGTAATTTCACACTTTTTGTTTACTATATAATTCCATGTCTGTTCATTCATAGTTTTGTTGCCGTTGGTGAGAATCTATAATGTAAATAGTCATGAGAAGAAAGAGACCAACGTTTATCAATCTTTTGACCTGTGGTGTATGATCTCCTTTTTTCCTTGTATTTCTGGGTTTCTGTCGGACCTGCAGGGAGATAAACACTGATCAACCTTCGTGTCAAACAGACTGGTCCGTCCCGTCCTCAGCTCTGGTGGTGCATCCATCCATGGATGGGATGGATGGTTCTGTTTTCACCTTAACAGAGAGATGTTGCTGCAGATGCTGCTTCAACCCACCTATCAGTCTCTTGAAACCTGAATCTTTTTTTATCCAGGACAGGTTTGCCCTACTCTGGTCTTCCATAGATGACTGGTTCCGAGTGAGACCCAGACTAAGTTTGACTCGGAAACCATTACAATGATCTTAGAACCAATAGACCAAGTTACTTCACTTGGACCAGGAATGCTGGGGCCTGGTTCCAGCCAGCCAGGATTACCCCAGGAAGCACCTTAAGGTTTGGCCTTCACCTGCGAGGTCCAACCAGGCACCACCACAACGAGCTACAGGAGACCACAGTTTGGACCTGCCATCTCCAGGTGGTTCTGTACAGAACTGGTGGATTACTGTCCCCAGATTATTTTAGGTATTTTTAAATAAATATGAAATGTTTTTAGTTTAAGGGTTGGGGTTATTTGGGATCTCGGATCAGTTCTTTTAGATTCGAGTCTGTACACAACAGATCAAGCCAAAGACATCTAAAGTACAGAACCTGGTTTCACCTCACGCCTCTGAATATAACAGCTCTGTTTACTCAGTTTCAGAACCGGGGTTAAAAGTTCTCATTGCCCTGTCTAAATTAATCATCAAAGTGGACTGCTCCTTAGCATGGTTTCTGGACTGAAAGTTGATCCTAACAGAGTGATTTATTACTGGGTCGGGGTGGTTCAGATGGTACTGAGCCAAGACCAAGCTGGGCCTTAATATCTCCTGGTCTCTTGCCCACCCCCCCCGATCTCTGTCCCTCCAGTACAGACTTTATGTAATGGACCATGAAATAAAACAGAGCATTTAATCTTTGAAGCAAACTTCTGGTTTGGGATGTTTTCCACTTTAAATAAAAAAGATGTTTTTCATTGGAGCTGGAATATTTAGTTAAAGAATGAATGAACTTTGGTTATAGTCTTCCAGCATGTCCTGCAGCAAGTCAGCCCAGACGTGCAAGAAGAGGCCCTAGTGATCCTGCAGATCAGAACTGGCTTGGGGTTGATGCCCTCACCTGAACCCATACATGTTCAACTGGTTAAAGACCTGGTTGTCCACAGGAGGACCTCACCATGATGCAGCCACTCCATAAACACACCTGTCATGTGTGGACATGGGCAGGTACCAGTCTCCGGACCTGTAAGGACTTTCACATAGTGTGACATCTGTCTAACTTCATCTAGCTGCGTCAGGAGCTTCTGATTTGGACTCTCCGTTTTTACTGACTGTAAGATGCTCCAGTCACTGACTGATAACATTATCCTTCCTCATTTGGTAAAGTTGTTCCCACTGGCATCCCCTCCAGCTTCTTGTTAATCAGAGCTTTAATATCCCGATCACTGGCCTGCATGTGACCAAATGAAGTCTGTTTTAGGGTTATTCAACTGAAGGAACTGTCGTTATCGAACCGGTTCAGTTTGGGTGCCTTCGAACTTTGAATGTGCGACCCATCAACAGTGTTTAATACACAACGCGGTGGCGAGACAGTGGAGCTTGCTGAGCTGTGTGCAATGTTCCTTTTAATGCAAAAAGGGAGCATCTATAAACCGCAGTTAATATGGAAAAGGAGACAGTGATTTCGTGCAAGAACAATGGATGTAAAATGTTTTAATTTTCATATGTTCAGCATCTGCGAGTGTAACAGAAACCAGTAGTTAGACAATGACTGTTTAGTCTGTTCTTTGCAAACATATAAATAATGTTTAGTTGGTATGTTCTTCACCGCTGTAATTTTTGCTTCTATTGTCTTCAGCTTCAACCCACCCACAGGTGATGTTACGGTTCGCACAGAAGAACCAAGTATTCTGTGATGCCTAAGTTTAACCAGTTTGTGCCCTTGAACCATGTAATTGGAAACATGCGTCACTGGTTCAAAATCACGTACGGGAACCGGAACGTTCTTCAAACTGTGTTGGTGGAAAAAGGGCTCTGTGAGACGTTTCCTGCTGGGGACAAAACTAATTTTGTCTGCAGGTGTAAATGTTGGAGTCAGGTTGCATCTTTGTTCAGAAATATTAACTTTTTACAGAGAAATTATTCCAGATGAAGTCAATACATTGGATCCAGGTTATATTTATTCTAATTCGTTGAAAACTGTTTTGGAGATCTACAGCAGGACATCATCAGCATATGATGATATTTTGTGCATAAAGCCTGAGTGTTAGATGGCAACAATGTTTTCAGATTTCCTTAAAAATGGCCACTAGCAGCTTAATGGTTGAGAATAAAGAACCTTTGAACATAATTTACCAAGAAGAAAATATTACGTAAGACTAAACAGGGTGGTTCTGTGTGGTTTTAATTAAGTAGATTGGGTTGTATCAATCCAGTTTGCCATCCAAAACCTTATTACCATAAACTGGATCTTAGACTGAAAAAGAAGCCAAAGATGAGGATGGATACTGGATCAGCCCTGACTTCTCAGGTAGTAGAATGAGCCAAGACGAAAATCTTGGATCTATGGAATTTTCTTCCTTCCTGACCCTGACCTCCAGGTCAGAGTTGACATATTTGGATAAAAGTCAGTTGAATGTGTTTCAAGTCTGTTTCTGTCCTGGTTTTATCAGCCTGTAAAAGGAAAGTTGTTTCAGCCCATCAGCGGTTCATCTGGACCTGGATCAGAGCCTGATGCGTTTCCCTGATGTTAGAGGCTAGGATTCAGCTGATGGAACTGTCTGAGATGTTTCAGCATCCTCAGCATGACTGACTTTCTGCCAGAAACGTGTACACCCCCTTCTAAAAAAAGCTTCATGCACTACATGCCGACACCGGATCCTTAACGTTCAGGATACCAGCCAGCTGAAAAACTGGACTCAAGTCTGGAGATGATCAGAGTCATGCAAACGAGGTGAAGCTCTGCTGTACATGTCTAACATGTTTGTCATCAGTGCAGTATTTCACATGCTGGAACCACGGCTGTTATTTTTAAAAGGCTGGTGCTGCACTGTGGTCGGATCCAGTTTAAAATAAGTTATTTTCCACTAATCCCTTGAGTTCTAGCTCATATATTCAGAAATTGACCCGATAACAATATGAAATCTGGTTCTAGTTTAAGAACAGATGCTGAGCTCAGCATACCCCAATGATCCTGGACCTACACTGAGGTTCCAAACAGGCCCGGAAACAAGCGAATGATGGACCAGTGCTGTTCCAAACACCGGGAGGATGGGTCGCTTTGAAACATGACACACTGTAGATTTACTGGTTTTTGTTGAAACAGCAGGCTGCTTAGTGGTGCAGCTGGTAGCACTGCTGCTTTGCATCAAGAAGGTCCTGAGTTTGAATCCCAGCCTCAGCTCTTTCTGCATGGAGGTTGCATGTTCTCCCAGTGCATGTGTGGATTCTCTGGGTACTCCGGCTTTCTTCCACAGTCCAAAACATGACTGTTTCATCAGATTGTCCTCAGGGGTGTGTGTGCGGATCTTTCCTGAGCGTCTAGGTGTTGTACTGTGATGGACTGGTGACCTGTCCATGGTGGACCCCGCCTCTCACCCAATAGCCTCCTGGAGATGGGCACACAAACTATGGTCAAAGGTGGAGAAAGGCTCTACCTGCTGCTGAGGCTGAAGTCTTCTTCTTTTAAGCATCTCATGTGATTCCTGTCGCTCTTTTATCAAGTCTCTTAACGTTTCCTCTTACATGCTGGTTCAGTGGGCTGTCGTTTATGTACCAGAACCATCCACACAGCAGGGTGAAAGTCTGCTCAGAGACCATGGGTCCATTTTAATGAACTGAGCTCTCTCTGGAAGGGACATGCCCCGTGTCCCTTCAGACCAATTTGTCTTGATGCCTCTGGGTGGCGCTGCTGCACACCTCCAGGGACAACCAACAGGTACAGTATTCTGTGTGTTTTGTTTAAGGCCAGTTGGGTTTATTGATGTTTGAATTGATGCACTTTAATATTTAAGGATTTATCTTAATGTTTGGTCATTTCTTTTTCTGGCTTTGGGTTTTATGAGGCTAGAAACAGAGACATTTAGCTGAAGCTGGATGATCCCATCAGGGTAGGTAAGCAGACAGTTTTCTGGATAAATGTTGGAAAATATTCGTCTGTGTTCATGAAATTCAGGTTCAGGTCAAAGGTTAAAGGGGTTTCATGGGGTGCGGGTGCGCCATTGGAGTGCCGCAAGGGTTTTCCATCTCTGCGGTCCCATGGCAGCCTGTGCCCCAATTTTATTGTACAACTTAGACACTCTCACTTATATCATTTCACGACAAAACACAATTTGGGCCTTGGGGGTGGCCGCACTCCATGGCAAACGAGAGAGGATATCCCCGTAAACCCTAACCTCTTGGTGCCTGCGCTCACCCCCAAGGGCAGACCCTCTTCCCCACCGTTCTTTTTTAAACCCCACACTACAAAAAAACCCCGCATCAACACCACATTTGAGCTGGCGGAGGCAGGCCTTTTGGGTCCTTTTTTCACACCCCCGTTCGCTATTTTTCCCATCTGTGGTCGGAGGGGTGGGGGGGTTTGGGGGTAAGGTTTTTGGGGACTGTGCCCTGGGGCTTGGGGCTGTTTTGGTCCCTTGGGGCTCTTCCTTCTCGGGATCGCTTGGGTTCCCTTTGGGTTTTCGGCTCCTGGCTTTGGGCCCCCGGTCTGCCGGCTGGGGGGGGGGGTGGCCGGGCTCTGGTAGGGGGGCGTAGGGGCCCGCATTGAGTTGGGGTGGGGGCCCTGCCCCCTGGAGGGGCTTTGGGCCCGGGGGGGACTACTTGGGGGGGCCGTTTGGGGCAACCATGCGGGGGGGCGGGTGGCGGGGGGCTGGGGGCCCCCGGGGGGTTTGGGGGGGGGGTTGGGGGGGGGGGTGCCCGGTAAAAGGGGGTGCCCGTGGCCCTTCTTCCACTGCTTCTGTGGTTCTGGCCCCTGGTTTTGGGCCGGGGGGGTGGGGGGTTTTGCCGGGTTTGGGTTTTTGGGGGGGGGCGGCGGAGCGCCCTTTTGACTGCACCGGGGCGGCTGGTGGGTTTTTGTTGGGGTTTGGAGTGGGTTGGCCTGCAGGCCCAAGGTACCCGGCTGGTGCATGTATCCCTCTCATGGAAATTGGGTGGGGGCTGCTGGCGCTGTCTAGGGGGGTTTGGGGGCTTGGTGGTGTGCTGCTCTGCTGTCTGTCGTGGTATGGGGGGGGTTTTGGGGGGGGTGGGTGGGGGGGGGGTTGGGGGAGGGGCTGCAGCCTGTAGGGTGGAGGGGTTGTATCCACTTCTGGGATGTGGGGTCACCGGCGTTTGGATCAGCTGGGCAGCGATGATGGAGCTGAGCTGGTATTGTCTTTCCCCCGGGCAGTTGGCAGTGACAGGAATGTAGTGTTTTTTTTTGTTTTTCCCCGTCATGCTGCGGGGGTTTCGGGCGTCCTGTTGGGGTGTTTGGGGGCTCGGCGGGGTCCGCCCTGTTGGCGGCCCGGTGGGCTGGGGTGGGGGTTTTGCCGGGGGCCCCTTGCCTTGCCGTTGCGGCACGCTGTGTGGTGGGGGAGGGGGGGTTCCGGGGGGGGTGCTTAGAGCGGGACTGTATGTGGAGCTTGCACTGGGTGGGTGTGGCTTCATCGGCCTCTCGGCTATGGAAATTCACCTGTGGGGGTTTTCCCCCTGTGGGGGGGGGATTCTGGCGTTTGGGTTCGGGGGTATGTGTTCGATACGGGGGTCCCTTTGGGGGGGTGGCCCTGTGGCGAGGCTCATGTTGGGGTTTTACGGGGGGTGGGGTACTCATGGGGCGGGATCGGAGCTCGTTGGGTGGGTCGGGACTGCTCCCCCCTGGGGCGGCTCTGGTTGGGGGGCTGGTTTGGGGGCCATGTGGACCCCCCCTTTGTACATAGCCCCCTCTCCGGAGGTGGATGGGAGTTGTTGGGGACTGGGTTTTTTGGGGGGGGCGGGGGATCGCCCGGGGCTGGGGCTGTCTGCCTGTCTCTGCTCCAGGAGGGAAGGGGAACCCCCTCCTGGGTCCGGGGGGGCTGGTTGTCCCCCTAGGGGAATGTCGGCGCCCGGACCCTGGAGTATAGAGTATGCATGGGGGTGGGGAGTGGGGTAAAATTTTTCGTCCATTGTTTTTTGCATCTACGTTGGGAGCGATTTTATGTGTGTGGATGAGGATGGGAGTGGGTGACTGTGACTGTGAGTGCCTGGTTTTTTTTTTTTTTTTGTTTTTTTTTTTTTTTTTTTTGTTACAGGTTGGGTCTTTTTAAGCTCCCCCCTCCTGGATCAGCTTAGGGCCCCCCCCATATTATTTGGGGAGCCTATTTCCTCCCCCCCCCACCCTGCCTGCCAGTGGTTTGGGGTTTTCTGCCCCGGGGGTATTGGGGGTTCTCGGTGTCCGGGGCTGGGGGCTTTGGTGTGTGCTGGCTCACTCCCGGTGGCTGCCTGCCGGGGCCTGGACCCCTGGGCTCTGTCAGGCCTCTGTCTTGTGGGTGGCGTGTCCCGGGGTCTAGGGTCTCTCGGTCCATGGCTGGATCTGCTCGGGCGTGGACGGCTGCCGGCGGGGCCTGTGGGCTCGTCGCTGTGGTTCCCTGGGGCTTCTGCACTGTCGCTGCTGGGTTCCCTGGGTGTCTCCACTGCTCTTCTCTGGGGGGGTTGCGGTGGTCCCGGCGGTGGTTCTCCTGGGGTTCCTGTGCTTTGGGGGGCCTTTGGATGTCTGTGGCTCGGATCTCCTCAGTGTCCGCCCGGGGACCACGGGGCAGGTCGGTGGGTCCTCACACTCGCTATTGCATATTTTTGTGGAGAAACCTTGTATACAAAGCGCGTCCACACAGGTGTTGATAGATACACAGATGATCTATATTGGGCTGCACTTCTCACTAAGTACATTTTACATTCACAAATACCGTGTGTTATTTTGTGTATAAGCAAGCAGGGTGTAATCTTTTATTCTATTCATCCTTCTTTCTCTCCTCCACTCTCTCCTCCTTTTTTTCCCTTCTTCCCTTTTGCCTCATCTCTCTCTCTGTCAAGCTTCTGTTTTCCTTTTCATTTCAGTCTCCGTGTTCGTAACAACTGAAATATTCCCAAAGAAGTTTATAATAAAGTTTCTTTTATAAATATCAAGCAGAGCTTTAAAGCAAAAGCTGTGATGCTCCGCTTGTGAAAGTAAATCTGTTGGGCAATTTCTTGGCACTCAGACAACAATTCCATGCGCTACTCTGCCGGACAGGACACGGTAAAAATAATAATAATAATAATAATAATAAAAAATAAATGGGTTTCATGGTTTATTTCCACCATGTCTGTGTTGATAGATCATTTAATGTCTGAAGCATCATGAAGCTGAGATCATCTGCAAGAGATTTCTCCAGAACGTAGACACTCAGACACATTTAGTGGTTAACAGGAGACTTTATTGGTCAGTGCTGCATGTTTGATGGGACTGATGAAGACCAAGGCAGAGGATCGACTGTAGAGTGGGCGGGGTTAACACACAGGTGGGCAGAGCTCCAGGCGGGTGGGATTTACTCATACAGGAAGGTCTGAGCGCAGGGGGTCCATTTGACGAACTCCTCAGGCTTGAACCAAAGACCAACTTCCATCTTGGCGTTATCCAGGGTGTCGCTGCCGTGGATGATGTTCCTGAGGAGACAATCAGGCCCAGATCAGTGATTTTATTTTTACAGTAATCTCATCTCGTAGTTTAATTTATAGTATCGTAGTTTATTTAAAAAAATAATTGCAGTTTGAGCTTTTTGACTCAAACCAAATATTTTGCATAGATAGATTTTTGTTACATTTTTATTGATAATTTAAATTAATTTAAGAATTTTCTTTTAACTCTGGGTCGGTCTGGATCAGCACTTCGTTAACAGCCGCTCTGCTTTAGCTGATAATTTGGACTATCTTTCGACAAGCTGTTGCTTTTTTATATTTCATTCATAAAATGTTTCTGTTTTTAGAATGCATATTAAATTTTTTATTTCTAAATGCAAAAATGTTATACTGCTAACAGTAACAACTGGATTTTTTTTTCATTAAAAAACTAAATTTTGATAAAATAATTATTTTAGAATTTCTGATTTTTTTTTATGTACCTTTTGAAATCGGCTTTAATATTTTAATATTATATTTTAGTTTTTGCTTTTTTACGCCACTGTTGCCTTGCAGCAAGAAGGTCCTGGGTTCGATTTCCGGCCGGGGGTCTTTCTGCATGGAGTTTGCATGTTCTCCCCGTGCATGCGTGGGTTCTCACCGGGTACTCCGGCTTCCTCCCACAGTCCAAAGACATGCCTGTTAGGTTAATTGGTCACTCTCTAAATTGCCCTTAGGTGTATGGATGAGTGTGTGCATGGTTGTTTGTGTGTTGCCCTGCGATGGACTGGCGACCTGTCC